ATATATATATATATATATATATATATATATATATATATATATATATATATATATATATCTATTGAAAATTCGTGCTGTGTGGGTGTGTGAATGTAGTACGGGATATGGCCGCCAAACGAGCGACGAGATTATAGGTTAAGTATACAAATATAATAGTAGCCAACTAAGTACATTAATATATTTTACATATACATATACATTAGTACAATCGTATAAAAGCTTAAAAAAAAAGCTATTAAAAAAAAATAGAAAGTTCTAGGCATCACGACTAGATGAAGATATTAACAGTGATAGAAACTTTGTGAGTAGCATGCAGCAATAGGGGAGGGGATACGCATCTCACACGACCGTGTGACCTCACGGACACAGCGTCTGAGTGTGCGCACTCCCTTCCAAACTGCTTCTCGCAAAGTTTCCACTCTCTGCTCTTAAAATATGTTGCTTCACATCCCACAGATAATAACGTACTCCTTATTTTCACGTTTATATACTGTATATAATTCTCGAATGCATAAAAAGTATATTTTATTTTTTTTTTTTAAATTATTCCGATATAATGTAACAGGGCCCATTAATGTACCTTACTTCATAGAGCTTAGATACATTGGTATCTTTAGTCATGCGCATGGTGTCGTGGAGAAGCTGATTGGTTGCCGCTTGCGTGTTGATCAGTGCCATTGATAACGCGATTGGACGACGCTCTCGGCGGCCCGCCAATGGTGAGGAGAGAACGCCGAAAGGGTCGTGATCGGGACGCATATTTCATCAGACCAGTGTGGTCACGTAAGCCCGCCGTATCGCGCGTGGCGGATGGTTCCTCCTTGGCCGGAGACTTGGTAAGATGTAGTGGGTCGTGTAAAGTGCGTCATTGTCGTCGATCCCTTCGTCGAAAAAGAATTAACTGCGTCAACGGGAGCGGTCTCACCACCGAGCAGTCTTGCATGCGGTAATTAGTAAGTGCACGAGGTGTAAAATCACCACGTAAGCGGCGAGGGGAAAGGGAGAGCGAGACAGAGAAGCGGTCACCCGACATCGCGCGCCGACCAACTCGGGCGAACGTCGGTTTGTATGTTTGCATGCTCGGCCTCCCTCGCTGTTCAAGGGACGCATATTCGCTCGTGTTATTCGCACAGTGGCGATGTGATCGCCCCGTTTGTTCGCTGCCAATCTCATCGCATTCATTGTCAATCGGCTACTACGACGATCACTGTTTCAGTCGGACGATCGCGATTTGTCACGGCTCCGGGCACAGGTCCTTCGTGCTCCCTTGTTTTCGTTTTCCCTGCTCGGGCTCATTCGTGTGCATGCACTGGATACACACATAAGTATATAGGAACGTATATACGTGTATATACGCGCGCAACGTGTATACGTGCGAATCTGCGTCTCTGTCGTTCGTTACCGGTTCCTCTCTTCCTTTCTCTGTCTTTCTCTATCTTTCTCTATCTTTCTCGATCTTTCTCTATCTTTCTCTATCTTTCTCTCCTTCACCCCTACCCCACGCCATCGTCGCACGCACACAGAGGCGCGCGCGCACGACGTCGACAGACAGCAAGGACGAATCGTCGGTTATACCCCCCGTGAATCTTGCGTGCGGCTGACGAAGCACACAATCCCGTTGTCGCGGGGCTCACCACCTCGTCGACGCGGTGCCGATGCTTTTCGGACACGAAGAGAAGATAGTATCTTATCCACCACCTCCGCGCTGCCGCCCTTCTCCCCGCACGGAGCAGTGCGCCCACACTCTTCGCCCCCTCCTTGTTCCGTCACTCACCCTCTCTCTCTCTCTCTCTCTTTCGTCGTGCGCGCGATGCCATTGCACCGCCGAACGAATCGCAGCAGGAAAAGCTATAAATATACACGCATCGCGCGGGGTAAACAAACTTGACCTCAGCGGAATTCTTATCGGCGTACACACACGCACAGAGGGAGGGAGGACACTTTTTGAGGTTATGTCGCGGCTGTACGTCTTCCTCTGGGTCTCGGTGCGTCATTGTACGCACAGCCGACGACGGTGACGCGGAGGTGGTGATTCGCGTCGACGAGTCCGCCGAAGGCGGCTAGTAGCGATGGTGCGGGCTTGTGAAGAGGCGCTCGTCGACGTGTAATGCAATAATCGCACGCGTTATCACCTTGCCGACGAGCTCCGCGCTCGTCGTTCGTTGCTCTGTCGCCGAGCGCGCGCGCGCGCACACGGAAACCTGGCGGACTCTTCGCAGCCAGATGAATGACACGCGCGACGAGTGAGTGGAGCCGGAGATTTCTCGCGCTCGTTCGACAGACAGACAGACTGACTGACTGACTGACCGGTCGGAACGCGAGAGAATGGGTTGTCTGATCGCGCACGAAGTAGTTCCCTGTATCCTGGAACTATCGTAGAAACTTCGCGATACTCGTTGAAGATCTCGTTGCGCGTATGCGAGGCGCGAACAAGTGACTCGATCATTCGGAAGCGGAGCGAGGAAGTGTCTCATTTGAAGCAGGTGTAAATATTAGTGTTTTGCGTGGCTAGTGGTTGCAGGCTGGGAACACGGTCGTCGCGTATCTGGTCTCAATCATCCTTAAGACACACCATTTTCCACTGAAAAAATAAAGATCGTCTGTATCCGACATGAAGCTGTCGTCCGCCGCTCCCTTTTGCGAACAAGTCAGCGAGCTTACACGTCTATTCTGCCAATGGAACGAATGCGAACAGACCGTCGTTCTCTACGCGCTTCTACGCCGTATGCCCGCGGTGCAGGCAAGATTCCTGGCAGAGGCGGTGCAGCACACCTTACATTCCGTGTCGCAACTGGACACGCAAGAAATGAACGCAAATAATCCAGGTAGTTACAGGCAAGAAATGAACGCAAATAATCCAGGTAGTGATTAGTCTCTATCATACTATCTAATCTGTATAAAATTAAGTATAATCATTATTTATTATTAAGTATAATTGGAATTATAATTGATTTTATTATTAAACATAAAAAAAATTTGATAATAATGAAGTACAAATTATGTATAAATAATGCTTAATTTGATGATTCGTATCTTGGTTTAATTTCGATTGTTTTTGAAAGACTTAAATTTTGTATTTAAGAACTACTTTATGTACACATAAGATTGTCTCTTTTGAACTGCATTAGATTGCGCTTTTTGCCTTTGAAAGTAAGACAAGTATATAACCTAACGTTGAAGGGAAAAGGAATCATGATACCAATGCAGCACCGGTTTAGCTGAAAATCAGATATTAGCAGATATGCTGCTTGTAAATAGTGGGAATGTTAATGAAATACTTTATATTGCAGTTTTCGTTGTCGGACTGATGTCAGAATCAACAGAGATTGCAATTCACGAACTGCTGATGCACTTACCACTACTAAAGGCTGGGAATTCAGAGTGCAAAGAAGCCTATTTGTCGGCGATTCCAGAATTAGTAAATCACTGTGTGAGCACTGGACAATACACACATGAGGCGCAGCAACTCTTAAGTTACACTCTGATACATCCTGCTATAACCTGTCAGGACAGACGTTCTTTAAGTCAGTGGCTCAGACATTTGGAGGATCGTATTAGCAATACTCCAACTCTACCCAACATGGAGGAATACATCATGAACGCTACGCCACCAGTGCCCAGGTGAGTGCTCGAGCTCGGCACAATGTCGACGATATCGCAGTCAATAATTTTCTCATGTTTACAATACAATCGTTCTTCAACGTCGTTTTCGTTTCCTATACAAGATGGGATGGATGGCCGCGGAAGCTAAACGACATGTTCAATACGCATTTGGGCACATCCGTGTTCGGCGTGACACCACCGCCGCCACCTCCACCGCCACCACAGCCAATTAGCCGTCAACGTCGTTCGAACAGCTTGACGCCACCAGTAGCAACGTCGCATAATCACGAACTTGTCGATCGCACCAACAACGCGAGTACCTCGTGTAGGTCCAAGCCGCGCAGCTTCAGCGTTTCGGGTGACCACGCGAGTAATTATCAGACTCCAGAAGTATTTCCGCGACTTTATTCACCTCGGCCTATTTGTAAATCATCTGTAAACTTAAACCGCGGTCCTGTTCACTCAGGTAGTCTCATTGGCTTGGGACCGTTGAGTCCGCAGGGCTCTTGTGCGAGTAGTGGCAGTGAAGGGCGTCTGGATGACGCTTCAAATCGTGCTTTAGCGAGCGGTATGCGAGGTAGGTTCAGCTGCAACTCTGAAAATATATATCTACTCGACAGTATTTGAACCAGACCTGTTCTTCTCTTAGACGTACCGGTGTGGCTTAAGTCATTGCGCCTACATAAATACAGTTACTTGTTCACCTCGCTGAGTTACGAGGATATGTTGGCATTGACCGAAAATCAATTGGAGACACATGGAGTCACAAAGGGCGCCAGGCACAAGCTAGCCATATCTATTACCAAGCTGAAGCAACGGTACAGCACACTTCTGAATCTGGAAAGGGATCTGGTGCAGTGTAATAGTGGACAAGCCAGCTCATCGTTCACGCAAGGCTCACCGTTGCTCGCTAACACAATCGAAGAACTGAAAACAATTTTGGCTACTCCCTTAAAACCGAGTCAAGACAGCGATCCACAGGACATCCCTACTCAGTTCACAAAAGTGTTGGGCAAACGTAAGTGGAACGGTTGTTTGTAGTTTATTACTGGAAGAATTGAGATATAATAAGCTCTTTCGCATTCCAGTGTGCAGCAGATTACCCCTGGAGACTGTAGATGACAGTATTCTGTGCGGTTGCATCAACGTCTTGGAGAAGGTATTACAGCACGAGTGTTTTACATCGACTCAAAAGGAGAAAGTGCAGCAATGGCGTAGCAGACTTGGCAATCCGCGACAAACTCAAAAGTAAGTCGACGTGTGTAACATTATATACGTGAAATTTACATCGCATAACTCATATTGTAGGATGCGACAGGAAGCGACGTTTTAGCAAGTGATTCACTTATCTATTTATTATTATGTTTAATATTATATTTATTACTATGTTATGTAGAATAAAGAGAAGGTGAATCGATTATGCTGGGTGTTACTAATGTCGCTTTTTATCGCTCATATGAGGAGAAACTCGGTGCTTGTACTGCGTTGTAATGTTAAATAATGTAAGCAGCCTGATGTAATGACGAAGATGCGTACGCGGGGTTAAATTGTTATAGATGGCAGCAGAACTACTACAATAATCGGAGATATGGTAATAATTCGCAGCACAATAGAAAACCGAGCCTGAACTCTAGCAACGTTCATAATACTCACAACACACACAGCAATCATTCGTACATGGCCAGTACGCACAGAAACAGTATAGCGTATTTTCAAAATATTTCGACTCAGAATCCTCATCTACACCCTGCTTCTGTCGAGAAAAGACCGAGTCTGCAAGAAGGTAGTTTGCCGGTAAGAAGAAGGATTTGTACTACAATTTTAAGCAAATATACGAATAAATCGTAAAATCGTAACTTACGAAAAAAAAATCATAGATATTTACGAGTTATATATGACATATGACATAGAATTGCAGATCTACTCATAAATTCTTACAAGCACAAATTACGAGTTTTACGATTTTGTTTAGAATTGCAGCACTAATTTCTCTATTTTTCTTAAAAATTACATCTCTCCTTGCTATTACAGCGTTATGTGTGTGATACTTCTTTTTCTCTTATTATTATTAATTAAGACTCCTGTAGCCCTGTAACTCATTATTGGAGTTAACGACAGTTTCGTTATCGTTGCGCAGCTTTTGTATATCGTAGAAATCCCAGGACTGGCCCCTCGCATTGTCTTTTTTTAAAGATGTCAGAAGATAATTAAATCAATATTTTCTGTTTTATTGAACAGTTCCCGGTATTTATTTGACAGAATATATATATACAGGGTGTCTGAGACCACCCGTACACCCTTTTTATCTCGGAAACAAAACATTTAAAAAAAAAACGTTTCAAAGAAAAGTTGTATGGTTTCGAGGTGTACATAAGATGGTGTCATTGATTTGACCTTGGAATTCTTGGATGGTGCCGCCAAGGTCAGAAGCGTCATATGCGACAATTTGTCGTAAATTAACGTGACATACAATTCATCTTTTTAATCTATTTCTTCGCCTATTTCTATTCAAGTTAATTTACAATAACTTATTGATTGTTAGAGCAAAGAGGACACAGAATATCTTACAAATTTGTTTAATCGATTACAAGTGTTACTTTGTGAGTATGTTTTTATTTTGACATATGTTGTTGAAGAATTTTTAATGTACATTTTCTCGCTTCTGACATCATTAAAAAAAGATAATGCGAGGGGCCAGGAGCCTTAATTAATATTCTTTTCACAGCAATTGCCGAAATCATTTTACCGTACGAATAGCGCACCGAGAGACCACTTCATAGACCCCGAGCCTTCCGGCAGTGGAACGAAATCGCTTCCGCAACATGTGCAAGTCGCAATGATGACGGAACAGGACCTCACTTTTCGCATGCAGACTCTCGCCTTAAGAATGACGGAACAAGCCATCGACGAGAAACCCAGCTTCACTCCATCTTCCATGAATGATCGCGTCTAGAATTTACCGTAAGTACCGTCTAAACAATCCTTTTTTACGGAGACAAATATAAGATCGTCTAAGACATTTTACGAAAATTCTGAGACGGTGCATTCACGGCTTCTTTAAAAGAAAAAAAAAAAAAATTGACGGTGATGATGAAAAATCATACATTTTATTCGTGTGTATACTCGCGAGTGTACATACCTATGCTTTAATTGCTTTAAACCAAATGGAAAAATGTCCAACACGTGCGACATTCACTTTGCGAAAAAGTAGATGACCCTTACACGCATGTGTAAATCGTATTTTTATTATCGTCTAATCATATTATTTAAACGACGGAATTTGGCAAGCCAAATGCTACTAGGAAGATAGATTCTTTCCTTGACTTCTCTCGCGGCATCCGTATAAGTATATTATATAAGAAGAAATATATATATACACATGTGTAAGCGTAAACACATAAAGCGTAAAACATACATTCATATACACATACACGCACTCACATATACACATACAGAGAACTTTATAACGAAGAAGTAGATCATCCACACACATAAACATATAGAATAAAAAAGAAAGAAAGAAATGAAGGAAGAAACAGTTAGCACTACTGCGCATGAGAATTGCAATATTATTTTTCCTGTTATCCATTTCATGAAATGGAATTTGCTTGATTTTAAATGACGGAACATAGTTAAATTAACGTAATTCATTTTAATGAATAGACTGATTTTACTTCTTTTAATATCTATATTTCTATTATTACATTATTATATTAGTGTATAATTCGTACTCTTATTGTTATTATTATCTCGGCGTCCTTCTTGCTAATGCTACTATTGCTCCTATTACTCTATCTCTTACTATTACCCTACTACTATTATTCTACCACTACTATTGATACTATAATCGCTATTCTTACTACTATCATCATCACATTATCGCCCTCACCACTATTATTACTATCGCTATAACTATTACTGTTAAAACTTCATGTAGAGAACGCGCAAGCATACTTAAAGGGTTTGCTACCGTATCGCATGAGTTATAATCCGCATACCTTTATTGAAACTTTAATCTCGACTGAAACAGGACAGAAACACGTATACGACGTGTGTATGCTTCGTAGTTGGCACACAGATCTCGCGATCTCCCACTTATTTAGCGAATTTTGTCGCGTTCTTCTCTTTGTTGTTTTTCTTTCCTTTTTTTTTTATTTTTTTTTTGTTTCCAATACAATGGTAGGCTACTATAAACGCGAGTAAATAATTCAAATAAATGAATAATAAGGGCCTTATGGGAAGAAATGAGCGAACGCGTATAAGAGAGCTGTAGGAAATTTAACATTATAAAGTAGCAGCGAAATTCGCGAGGGATGTGGGTCGGAGGGGACAGACTGGCGTCATGTAACTTGGCGCAACATCGAAATCTGTGGCTTTACATTGTAAGCATACATTAATATTCAATCTTTAGCACTTTGAGGTAGCGTTGCGGGTAATGTAGCATAATATTTTTTTGTGCAAGAAGATGGACTTTATTAAATGCGTAATGTTAGGGAGTATATATATACATAATATTTGATTGATTGCATTGATGCAAAATAAGAAAAAAAAAAATGACTAAAGACTGAATAATTCACGTGCCACGATCCGTCGTTAGACTTCGTATGCTTTACTTCCGTTCGTGGATCTTGTGTGCACGTGAATGTAATAATTCGAAGACTGTATGAGAAAAATAACTCAAAATATTAAAGATTAGCGAGTGAGCGAGCAAATGTACGAGTATGAGAGAGAGGGAGAGAGAGAGAGAGAGAGAGAGAGAGAGAGAGAGAAGTGAAAAAGAAAATGAGAAAGTAGTTTTTAAGACGAAACTAGTTTTAAATTTCTAGGGATACGTAGCGTAGTATCGTTAGTAATAATATTATACTCTTATAAAAATAAGTATTAAGTGATTTATTGAATACGGGAGTATCCTGCTGATGCACGCGTGAGGAGAATAGAAATGAACTATATATACATATATATTTAGTAATTGTAAATGGAAAGGATCATATTTAGTCGTTATTTCATTTCACGAGCGAGACAAGTGTGTTACTCGATCAACGGGCAGTAGCAGCAGTAGCACCGTCAAAACGATATCCGATTGGTTGTACATTGTGAGTTACGAGAAATTAATATGGAATTTTAAAAAAAAAGATCAAAAGCTAGTCAAACCGTTTTTTATTTCTACCGGTTATAACGTATATAATTAATTAATTGTACATTAAATCTGCGTACCACACACAAACACACAATACCACACGCGTGTTCTCAATGTAATTCGCGTGACTTGTTAGACATATGTTTCATTGTATACCAGAGAGAGAGAGAGAGAGAGAGATATACATACATACACACATATACAAGAAAAAACTTACTACAAACACACGCATGATACACATATACAGATATCCTATTTAGTGCATTACACAAACTCATACATACATAAAAACAAAGGCCCACGTGCGCACACACACATACAAGAAGAAAGAGAAAGAGAGAGACACATAATGCGAACGAAATGAGACGCATGTGAAAAAGACTGCTCGTAAGCGACATCAGGAATTTCATTCAGCGTAGGATTACTACAAACTGTTTCACATACTGAAACCGCTGCAATCCAACTGACAAAGGCAGGACCTGAATTAAAATGGATGCAAAGAGATTTTTATTCGCGCAGCGTATTATAAGCGTGATCGATAAAAGAAAGGAAAAAAAAAAAACAATGAAAGACCATGTGATTAATCCTGCCGATGGTCGGGACGCCGCCGTTGTGCCGTTAACTTCCCGTCGACCCATCGTATATTATAACTATCATTATTGTTGTTTGTAGTGAGGCACTCGCGACTCTCATGTAACGTCTTGTACTTAGTGCTCATAGCCATTATCGTGGGGAGAAATGCGCCGGGCGCGCACAGCGCGCGTCTCGTTCGCCGTAGTGATCATCATCATAATTAACGATCGGCGGCGGTGATTCGCGAGCGATGAAACGAACGGATAAGCGAGAACGAGTCGACATTGGTGTAAAGCGTTCAATAGCCGAGCGGAAAATCAAGGTATTACGTGGAAAGAACACGATTAACGTCGGATATCAATCGAGATATGTTCTCCTCGTCGAGTGCAAAGTGTCGGGATACCATCGTGCGCCAAATGCTGCGCGCGCGGAATGCATCTTGCATATAGTAGCATTCACGAGCGACAAATTATCGAGAACACCGAGGAGAGATAACTCGCACGCCGCCGAGAACGATGAGATCCATGTGTTGAATACTAGTAAAGAATAATCTTGCCTGAATAATTGGTACTTAGGTATTAATTAAAGTGTAAGCTACGATCTGACGATATCGGTAGCTGTTGGTGTAATTAATTAATACGTAAGTTTGAGCAAGAACGGTGCACGTAATACTCTGCATTTTCCCGAGATCGGCGATTGTTGTTCACGCATATACGTGTATGCACATTTTATTATGTTCCACTCTCGTTAGTAATAACACCGAGCTCTTTCTCCAGCGATTCTCGAGTTCTGGAAACTGACGATAAAATGTATCGCGTTCGCATACACGTGCGCGTTCTGCGATCTCTTATCCGTTCGTTGACCTCAGTGCAGGATACTGATTGTAGGAATGAGAATAACGCGCGAAAGATAAGAAATTCGCGGGATAATCTTTGGCCGGGTACTCGCGCTCCACAATAATCGATTTGCTCGATAAATTTTGCACACCTGTAGCAGCAGTAATATATATATATATAATAATTAGTAACTTAGTGAAAAATTTCGGAAAAGACGAAACAAAGCGAGTTGTTCCCGGCCGAAGGCGATCCGCGATGACTATGATGATCCGAGTAGAAAAATTATATCGATGCGGTTGACATCCGCCGAACACGTTTTAAGCGATTGATTTTGCTTTAAGAAGCGCGTCCAGCGAACGAAGACGCTTTTCCCTTTGTTCTCTGCGCCTTTTTTTTTGTTCTTATACGCGGGGATTCGTGCCCTCGCTGGCGCATATCTAGTGTTCACGATTTGCCGCAGCTTCTCTGGATAACATTAGGTAAACTGTAATAAGAAAGGTCATTTGAATTGTCAGATCGCTAAATGGAAATACCTTAGTCACATAAGCGCGGCAACATGTAAAAATGCAATTTTTGTACTGTTATAAAAAAGAAGTTGAATAGACACAGACGTTGTAGCGTGAAGGGACTTTTTCCAATAAAAAAATTTTCATACGCATATATAATCCGTGTAAGTGTGTCCTATATCTCTGCTCCTCTTGTCCTTATTTATATATTTATTTGTACGATGCGATAATATATCACACATACGATAAAGTGAGTTATTAATTATTGATAAAATGTTTTAAAATTTTCTCATTTGAGTAATACAACTTTAGAATAAATCTACATGAAAAAATAAATGATTCGCGTTCGAGTGACTCTTTGAATACATCTTGATATCCAAAATGTTAGTTAAGAACACTCAATTAGGAACACTTAGTACGTCTCCAAGAGCCAAGAGCAAATTCTGATTTGACTCAATACTTTATGCAGTAAGAGCGCAAAACATCGTTCTATATGCGTAGCTGCATATCTAAACATGCACGAATGCTAATACATCGTTTGCGTTAACGCAACAACTGTAAGTTAGTGCATCTAGGCTACATTTTCCGTGGTGTCTACAACTTGGCGTATTTTACTCGCAGTGTAACAATATATTTAATATATATTTTACACAGTTGCATGAAATCATAAATAAATTTTCAAATCGTCGAGCAGTTTGTAGTTTATTGTCGATAAATAAACGTTCTTCCTGATTACAAATATTTAATATAAAATTATTTTTTCCGTATTTTAGTCAGGAGACGTCGAATGCTTTTGCCTACCACGCCGCCACACGAGAGATCTTTACTATGGCCCATATTCTGAATCCTCTTTTATCGATAAAAGTGCCTTAAATGTAACTTCTCAGCCAATCAGATGGCTCCTAAGCCTCTTTTAGAGGCACTTTTATAGATAAAAGAGAATTCAGAATATGGACTCTTGTAGATCCTTAGACCCGTATTCTGAGTTCTCTTTTAACGATAAATGAACCTCTAAAAGAGGCTTAGGAGCCATCTGATTGGCTGAGAAGTTACATTTAAGGCACTTTTATCGATAAAAGTGCCTTAAATGTAACTTCTCAGCCAATCAGATGGCTCCTAAGCCTCTTTTAGAGGCACTTTTATAGATAAAAGAGAATTCAGAATATGGACTCTTGTAGATCCTTAGACCCGTATTCTGAGTTCTCTTTTAACGATAAATGAACCTCTAAAAGAGGCTTAGGAACCACCTGATTGCCTGAGAAGCCATATTTAAGACACTTTTATTGATAAAAGAGGGTTCAGAATATGGGTCTTATGGCTCCTGCACACAGGACGCGGTAATGCTTGCCGCGCGGCGGAAGTTCGCGCGATAGCCAATCAATATGCTGCTTTCCGTAATAACTTTCTAGCTCTTACGGAAAAACAACATATTGATTGGCTGTCACGCGGACTTTCGCAGCGCGGCAAACATTACCGCGTTCTGTGTGCAGGAGCCATTAATGTGTATATATTTTAGCTGCGTTCGGGGAGTGCGCTATCAACGCTACGCGTCATTCTATCTTTATTGCGTTTTAGATATGTAAAAAATTTAAATATAAATATTCGTTAAATATTCGCGGGGATCTTTAGTTCCTAAGTCTCTCTGTACGAGCCGCTACTGTTTTTAACTAAAAATTGAGGTAGTATCCAGGATTGGGAACGTTACTTTTTAAAAATAACGCGTTACCGTTACCGTTACTTGCGGTAAAAAGTAACTCGTTACCATTACTCGTTACTGATTCTAAAAAGTAACGCGTTACCGTTATTTGAAAAGTAACGATAAAAAAATCGTTACTTTCCATTACTTTTGGTAAAAAAAAAGTTAAAATCGGCTTATAAAACAAATAATAAGAGAGACAGTATATAAATTATACATATATAAAGACAAAATATAAGATATTTAAGACAAAAGACAAAATATAAGATATTTAAGCACATATTCTTGCATAACATAAAGCATTCTACATTAGTCGCAAATCGCAAGGTCGCAAAGAAATTGACTAATCATAGTCGATTGTTCTTCTTGCGATCGAAGAATAATCAATTATAATTGGTCAATTTCCTTGCGATCTTGCGATTGCGATTAATGTAAAATGGACGCCGCACACATTGACATAACAGTAACGTAAGGCGTACCGTAAAAATGAACCAATTACAATCGAGTATTCACAAAAATGGCGATCTTACGGTTCGACGATACTCAAAGTGATTGGTCAATTCTTACGGTACGTCTTACGTTACTGTTATGTCAATTCATGTGCGGCGCCCCTTAAGCGTGGTCTACAATGAAAACTTAAAGCATAAAATTTAAGCTTTAAGTCTTAAGCCGTAAGAAGTTGACCAATCACAGACAATTATAAAAAAAATAATTGACTGTAACTGGTTAATTTCTTACGGCTTAGAGCTTAAAACTTAAATTTTATGGCTTAAGTTCTCATAGACCACGCTTTAGAGGCTTCCTACAATAAGCAATAAGTTTTAAGTCGCAATAAAATTGACTAATTACAGTGGATTATTCTTCTAATAGTCGACTATGATTGGTCAATTTTATTATGACTTTTATTGCTTATTGTAGAATGGGCTTTATGGAAAGCAGCACATTAATTGTTTATCGTGTGCAAACTTTCGTAGCGTGACAAGCGTTGCCGCGTTCTGTGTACAGAAGTCACTATAGTAAAAAAGTAGCGATACAAGTAACGATGAATTTCGTTACTCGTTACTAAAAAAAAATATAACGCCGTTACTTTTTCGTTACTGATACAAAAAAGTAACGGCGTTAACAAATTGTTACCAAAAAAAGTAACGAAATAGTAACGTCGTTACAAGTAACGCGTTACTTCCCGCACTGAGTGCGCGCTAAGACTTGTTTACAGTACATTCTTATATTTAAGGTCGTGTCTTAAATACATATTTAAAAACATTTTAGCTAAAATGATTCGTACGGATGTTATATATATCATATTACTGGTTAAAAATATTTGAGAATTTATTTAAGACAATTTTTAAATATAATATACTATGAACGAGCTTCAGTGCGTTAGTGCAAGCAACCGCTATAAAACTCCATATATATGGTGAGCCCAGTAAAATATCGCAGTGACCAATCAGAAGCCAGGCGCATATTGGGCAGTGGCGATACGGCGCCGACATACGCATGGCTTCTCATTGGTCACCGCAGCATTTTGCCGGAATTCACCGCGGGAGCGTCCCGATTGACGACGGTACGATTGGACACAACCAACTGATGAAAAGAATTATCTAGTGAATTACTAGGTCGAACCAATCATTACAATCTGTGTCCAATCGTATCGTGGTCGATCGGGTCCCACCCATTCACCGCATATATGGAATCTTAGCTTTATTTTGTTTTAAAACTGTTAACTGTTAATTTCATTCTGCGGACGAAATACTTGGTCTATGTACATACGTCATTGCGGGATAAAACTTCAAAGCGTAATTTAAATAAAGTACAAATATCATATAATTTTAATATCGTTTTATTTTTTCTCGCAGCGTTCTTTTTTTTTTTACTGGAAACAGTCTTACTTAAGATGTCTATAAGACGTCTTACTTAAGATGTCTCAAAGACGTCACAATCGGAACGTAGGACGTCTCAGTGTTTTCCGGGAAGTAGCTACAAAATAATAATAAATACTTACAGACTATCTAACGTCTACTCTCTTAAGTTTGAAATGCAAAGGATCAATCGCTTAAACTGTTAAATAGACAGTATCCACATACTTAAGCTTAAATCGTACTTTTAATAGATGTACGTTCGATATAGTAATATAAACATATATCGATTTATTTCGATCTCTCTTCCTCATGCACCCACGCTCTTACGCATGCACACGCGTATAACATACGCACACTACACAGGCGCGCACCACAATTACTACTGTTTTACCTATACATGTATTTACATAGTCGACGACACGTTTTTTTCATCTGTTTCGATTGTGTAAATAAAAAAAAGTGACACTGTTAATCGTTTGTGCGCGTTTGACATGAAATTTGCGAATGCTAAGACCGAGCGAAAGTCTATGTGTTCAATGTTAAACAGATAATGATTCCTTTGATTATAGATGATAGATATATTGAAGTTACAGTCATAGATACATAACTTCAATACACACTCAATATTATCTAAATGAAAAATTATATATATATATATATATATATATATATATATATATATATATATATATATATATATATATATATACACAACTGTTATATATTATTTATCATTTTTCCTTATAGATATTTCTGTGTGAGAGCGAGTGTCTGTGAGAGAAAAGGAGACGTCGTGGTACTTTGTGGTATTCGCTGTCGTAAGACATTTCCTAAAGAGTCACGATAATATCAGTGTCCTTGGAATTATCTTCGGAAAAATCTCAGCGAGACTCGCACGTTATTTTGCTAAAACTCTACGTAGCAAGTGTCGTCAATTAGGCAAGCCGGTTTTGTCATTACTCCGACTGAGAAACAAAAGTGCGTCTTAGTCGTGTTTATTTGCTTTGTATTTGTTCTTCACTATATTTATAGATATTTGTGAAACTTGCCATCACAAATTGACGATTTCCGTGAACGATCTTGCTTCGCTTAAACGTGGCGTGGCGTAACGAGTCGACTGTTTGACGGATACTTATTGGTGTTTCGTGTTACTTATTGCTGCGTTAGACTGCTGCAGAAATTAAAAACTGACGAAGGAACTGTGGGAAACGTTAACAGTGTCGTCGAAAAATAAAACCTGAACATTCAGCTCCCTGCGAATGTGTACGTATACGTGTATGTATGTATATATATATCTCTCTCCCTATATATATACACATATACATATACATAATATATATATGGATCTACATATATAAATAACGTGATTTAGATATCTTTATCTCTAACGAATAAAACCGGAAAATATCCTCTGCTGTTCGAAATCGCCTCATAGCTACGTTCTTTTTGGGCTGAAGGAGGTAGGCGTCGCGAGACGCCTGTAAATCGATCGAAGTTTACACTTATCGAAATAATGTCACAGCTAATAGCGTTACAGCGCGGTAAGTATGTACTCTACTTTCGTTCGTCTATGTACAAAGCCCTATGGCAATTGTAAGGAAAGAATTGCCAGCTTCCGCAACATCATTCGTGTCGTTCAAGAATCGATCGCACGATCCGCATACTACATGAAAGAAACACACGTCGATCCCATTCTCGAGCGGACTAATGCTACACGGAATCGCGACGATTCGCGGAGCTTCACCGATCGGTATTGGTAATAATCACATGGTATTTAAGGCTCCTAATTGCTTCGCGTTGTGGTCATCTTGATGTCAGAATCGAGGAAACGCATGCCCAAGATTTCTACAAAATATGTCGAGATAAAAAGATATATGCAAGATGATAATTGATTAAGCACGTCTCTAAAATATTCTTAACGCTTTTCTTTTTGCTTTAACAACCAATAAGTAATCTGAAATTAACACGACGAAATAATAAAGAAATGTAGATTGAAGAGAAAGTTTGCACGTTAATTTTACAGTTATTTATTGATTGTGCAGAAAAGAGTGTCCGGAGTATTTAAAGGGGTGCTCAATCGATTGATTGTACATGTCATTTTTTTGGATGTATTTAGAGATATGGAGGCATATATTTTTTTATGTCAACGTGGAAATTTTGGATATACATTTTCTCGCTTTTGACGTCATCAGTCAAAAGTTTTGCGACGAACAGTCAGCAGGCCTTATTAAGTGTCGCTCATGTCTCGTGAAGACCGCATTTCCCGCTCAAAGTTCGCTTGAGCATCGACAAACGTCGTGACAACCGATGGAAAATTGTTCCGCGAATCGCGCACCGTTCTCGACGACTCTCCTCGCTCTCTTCCGCGATATCCTCTTTGGTCTCGTGCATTCGAATAGAATATTTAATATATTGCGACAGTGAAAGAAACTTCTCTCGTCCGTCGTGCTACACACGTGTCTTTTACGTTTTCGTGACACATATCGACGGTCGATTGGTTTTCGAACCCCCGGCTCTCCCCTCTCTCCTCTCTCTCTCCTGGTATATTCTCTACTCGAGGATCGACTAACACTTTGTAGTATGGCATTACGAAAAAATGTACACACAGTCGTAACGATCTTAAGTCGAGTACGCTAATAATACTATCGAGTGTCATGCAATATCGGTTGTATAACATCTTGTGTGACGACCGTTGACGTTAAATTCGCTTCCTCCGTTCTTCATTTTTACGCTAGATTCAATTAACTCTCGCGAAATTCTACGAAACTACGAACCGTAACGCGTCCGTGCCGGTCGCATTCGGCGCGATTCTCGGATTTGTCTCGTATGTAGCGGTATCTACATATACGTGTCTTAGATCTGTATTAAGTCTCGTTACTTGAAACTTATCTCATTGAGATATCGAGATATTCCGATTTGAATTTAGAGTTGGATCTGAGTTTTCCGGTTGAAACACGTGATATACGTGACACATTTGCAAACGCGATTCTACTGAAAAACTCACATCTAACTCTAAACATAATATATGAGTATCTCACTTGAAGCGAGTTTCAAGCAACGACTATTAATACGAGCCTAAGGCCTGGTTGCACCAACATTACTTTGGCTTTAAGCGAAACTTAAATATATATCTATCTTTATCTTTCTTTCTAAATAAATAAAGACAGACATATTAAGTATATATTTAAGTCTCATTTAAAACCAAAATAACGTATTGATGCAACCGGGCCTTAGACCCGTATCAGTAGTCGTTACTTGAAACTGTCATGTGAGATATTCAGATTTTAATATAAAGTTAGATCTAAATTTTTCAAGTAAACCGTATGATATATGCAACGTTACGTTTGTTTGATCGTCATTCCACTGAAGAACTCACATCCAACTCTAAACTTAAATATGAAAATCCTACATTTAAAGCAAGTTTCAAGTAATAACTATTAATACGGACTTTAGACTCGTATCAATAGCCAGTACTTAAAAATTGCCTCAGGTGAGATGTTCAAATTTGAATTTAGATATGATGTTTTAGCTGAATCACGATTATAAACGTAATGTCTCATGTATTATATGATTCAAGTAAAAAAATCTAACTCTTAATTCAAATCTGAGTACCTCATACGATACAAGTTTCAAGCGATGGCTATTAATACGGACCTGAAATCAGACGGCCGCGTTCAGCGCCGAATGCGAGATACGAGTTGCGGGTTTCTATGACTGCAACAACTTCGCCTTCCTATCCCTACGTTAAATCGATCCGTTAATGGCAGTACGGAAAAAAGAATTGTGCGCCAGATCAATAGAACATACGGACGTTGAGAGACACCGAAACCATGTGAACCGCGTTACATGTTTCTCTCTCGCTTCGCCGGCGCAATTGTCGATCGGAGTATCGTGAGAGTGTGCCACAGATATTTCTCAGACGAGTAGTACATCGACATCGAGAGCTCAGACCTCCTCTTCCTCCTCCTTCTGCTCCTTGTGATCGATAATAATCAAGGCTCGTTCATCGCGAATTCAACCCAGATACAATATTCAACTAGCAACGTGATTATCTATTATATCAATATTTGCCGTTAAATTCTCCCTGTCAATGGAGACGCCCGTTCGCGATCTGCGTGATTTCCAGTCGTGTAAATCGAATACGCTACGCTGAAATCGATTAATCAGTGTTCGAAAAATGCCGTTCGGCTTGTAGCTTGTTGCACGCGGTCGTCTCGCAGTATTAACAATTTACTCTGAAATATTATGTATCACATTTTAGCGTCGGTTCCGCAGCTGAGAGGATCGTTCTTTTATTTATATATATATATGTATGTATATATATATATACACACACACACACACACACATACACATATGTATATGTATGTACATATATATATAGTAATATATATATATATATATATATATATATATGTATTTATATATCCGTTTTTAACGTATTTCCAACCCGCTGCAGCGCGCGACGTATGTTTTTATCTCTTTTTTCTTTTTTCTTTACCGACGTCGTCAGCGATTAAACGTCGTGTACCATACTTTGTCAGCCGGATTTCTCTAATTTGTATCTAAATTACACTTTGTGTGTACTGTGATATATATCTATGCAAAGAGCAATTAGTAGACGAATACGTCTCTGACTACATAAAATCTACATATAAACTTTTTAGACACAACATTTCGCGACAAACACCGAGAACTTGCAGATGTTCTGGCACATGCTTATGCGCGCACGCGCGCATACACACACACATACACACAAGCACGCATATTGCGACATTTGTACGGTCAATCAGTTTCCTCTTCCTCGCGTTTCGCTATGCCGAGAGTAGTTTCGCAAAGAGCAAAACCGTGCCATTGCCAATCACATTCACCTGAATGCTGAGACAAATTAATTCCCGATTAATTTCAGCCTATTCAGTTTCAATCTGGGAGGTAAATAGCAAAGAATTTCTCCCCAGTATGAAACTTGTGAGTCAAAATTAATTAATAGTAATGGCATATCTGAAAGCTTGAATACAGTCTCGTGAAGTCTCCGAGAGGATTCATCATCAAACGTGACGTCCGCCTTCTCTCACGCGGTTCTCGATATGATTGTCACCCAGCATAAAACACCAACATCCGGCTCTATTAAAGACAACATCCCTAACACATGTTACATGCGCAATCGAACGTACAATCGCATGTTTTTATGCTGTCTGCGATGCATTTGCCCGTGGGAGTAGTAAAATTTTGCGAAATAAAATCATTGAACTGCACTAAAACGATTTGCGCAAGCGAGAGAACATGTTTCCCAAATATCACGGGAACAAATTTCCCGACTGAGCAGACGCACCGGTCAGCATTAACATGCTCGAGATTGTACGTATCGGACGTATCCGGCTCAGTGATCTACTTCGATGTGTCCGCTGACTTTGAATCGAGGATGCAGATTAAACATTACTCTCGTAACTCTTTTCGAACGAAACAATAGAACATGTCAATGGTTTTCGCATCGCGTACGAAGAGGAAATCGGTTAGAATCCTATTTATAAATCTATTTACCCGATTGATCTGAAGCAATCGAATTATCGGAAGACGCGAGATACCGTTGCATCAGCAGGGATAACTCTGTGCCGCGGTAGAGAGAAAGTTTGAGGAGCCTTCAGTGTCTAAAAAATAGTTAACAAGCTATGAAACTCTCGCGTATAATGCAACTCCAACTGATGACGTTGATTAAACCGCCGAGCAGAATAAGAATGTAAGTAACACGAGCTTATACTACTGTACTCCGCTAAACAGCTAAGGTCCGATGCTACCAACGTCTTTAAACGTCGATTAAACTTTAACCTAAGTTCAAGTCTTTATCTGGAGACAGTTTAAGCTCAGATTAAGAGTTAATCGTTGGTGAAATCGGGCATTGATCTTTTTAAGAACTGCCTCCTACTGGTGCAGCGCTACTCTCACTTCCTCCTACAACTTTTTCCTAAGGAACTCGAGGAACAAAGAGAGAACCTCTTCACTTGGTGACGGCACTCATCGACGTTTGATGTTCTATCCGGACGCTTGTATGGCTGTCTGAGTCTCCGTGGACGACGAAGAAAACGGAGAATAGCTTCTGAGCGGCGTGACTTCCGCGCTCCGTTACGGTTCTTCACTCCTTCGGTTTCCTCAGCCAGCTTCGTCGGCCGAGACTGGCGACGCTCATCGAGCTGGCAGTGCTAGAGACACTCGCCAACGAGTTCAGGCTTACCGAATGTTAATCTTGCAGCATGTGCACGAAGCTGATGGGGAACATGCCCCGTCTCTCTGGCGCCCGTTCCAGCGCACCCTCCATCCAATTGTCGTCATCAGTCTGTTCGTTGGTCACGATGATCACCTCGCCTTCGCGGAACGATAGCTCGTCCTCGTTGTCGGCCTCGCAGTCGTACAACGCTCGGCAACGTCGAAGGCCGCTCAAAGTCGACGACGTCGGCTGTGTATCGGAGGACAAGAAGAAAATGTTAACAAGACGAGAACATCCGGCATACACTATTGAGAGCGCGTGTTTCAGTCAGCTGAGGGAAGCAAGCGCTCTGTTGCTCACACCCTTGTCACGAGGTGACGAGCGTGAGTACACCTGCTTTCAAAACGATTTGAACACTTATTTCTCGATGCAGTTTGGAGCCCAACCGATAGTCCAATGTGAAGATATGTTTTGGACTAATTCCCAAAAGTTCAGCTCTCTCATTGTACCATCGGCTGCGTTTCAAGCTGTATCGAGAAAAAAGGAAAAGATCAAACCGTATTGAAAGCAAGTACACATCTTTCTCGAATGTTACGAGGGCATTGGAAATTCTAGGGAGATTTGATATTGAAAGTCCGAAGAGTCAATGATATTCACGGTTTCGACCAGACTCGATTTTATCTTATTGTCGACTGATTGACGATTAAGATCTTTTGACTTCTTTCGTGTCACTCTCTTTCTCTCTCTCCTTCGGGAGAATCAAAGCTAAAAAGGTGTAAAGTATTGATTAATCCGTTCTGAGACAGATAAAAGGGGCTGCGACGAAAAACATCCAATACACTTGGATAGAATATAATTAAACTTATCGATATCCCTAAACTAGAATTTCCAGTATGAAACACCGATACATCATGCCAGTTACGCGATTTAATGTCAAGTCTCACCATAACTCGGAATGACAGAATTTTACGAGGGAGTAGTATCGCGGAAGTCGGAAGAAGTATAACACAGCCGAATGCGATCGAGTGTCGGTTAAACATAAATTCATTCAGAAAACCCATGCGATAATCAGTATTTACAAGTACACAGGTCTCAGTGGTTAGTGCTTGATTCTAACTTATTGTCCACTGATATATATAACTCGTTAAACATAATGAAAAAAATAAATAAAAATGAAAAAAGAAACATACCAATTAATGACTCGGATAGAATAAAATTGAATCGAAGAATGTAAATATTAGATTCATACAGGTTACACAGAGCGACTTGTCTTGGAAAATTCGTGTTCTCGTTACGAACGAATAGCACCTCGATCGGGGCGACTGATGGTTGTGACTAGAGGCGAGCGATGTTAAAAAAGAAAAAAACGACCACACCGTTCGGCAATAACGCACAAATAATAATAATGTTATATTTGAAGCCTCAACGAGGTGAGTTGCACAGACGATGATACGAACAGCACGACTGATCATGCAAAAGCACTGCTACACTTGAAAGTGTCGTCGATACGGCTAACGACAGACAGAAAGACAGAGGTAAGTTCCACTGACGACGGTTGTCGGTCTCGAATTCTCGTTAATAATTCTTTTCCCTGATTCTTTCTCCTCGTCGGGATTACGTCGTCACGCGATTTGCATTTAATTAATAGCTAGCGACGAAGCTTAATCATTTCACGTGGAACGCGTATGTACAACGAGATATATTGCATATATATGCTTATTTGTTTATATATAGAGTTGTGAAAATATTAGTTAAATTTTTTCAATTTAATAATTGATTTGAACAAATATGCTTCAATTCAATTCAATTCAATTCAATTCAATTTAACTCAATTCAATTCAATTTAATGATTGATTCAAACAAAATCAACTGAAGAATGTTTAATTGACGATAAATTTCAACGAATATAATTAAAGATTATTCAATTAGCGATTGATATGAGCGAAGGAAAACAAAGATCAATCAATTAAGAATTGAACTTGGCAAATTCAATTAAAGGCTACTTAACTGACAATTGATATGAGCAAATTGATTCAATCGAAGAGTTATCGATTACTCAAGGATATACAATTGATTTTGTGGATAATATTCATTCTCGGAGCATTGTGGTATCGTGGAAAATGCCGATGATTGAGATGATTTGCGTTGAAAAGAGCACTAAGCATATCAACTATCAACAAGCAATCTTCGATTGAATCGATTGGAATTTGTTCATATTAATCATCAATTAAATCTATTAAAAAATAAAAATTTATTGAGAGATATTTAAATAATAAAATAATATCAATAAATTTAAAATAAATAAAATTTTTTAAAACTAAATTTCATTTTTATTTATTCGTTATAAATCAATATTAAAAATATATAAAAACAAAAATCCCCTAACACACCGTTATAAGAAACAATAAAATTGAATAAATGAAATTTATTTTTCTCAAATTGATAAATTTAAACATATTATTCAATTATAAATAATTAATAAAATTATAAATATAATTGGATGAATTTTTTATTACAATAAAGGGAATAATTATAAAAATTACAAAAATATAATTATTTATAAAATTGATAAATTAAATTGATCAATTAAATTAAACGTCCTTCAATTAAATTTGCTAAGTTCAATCATCAATTAAGCGGTCTTTAATTAAATTTACCAAGTTTAATTATTAAGTTTATTTATTGTTAATGATGTTTGATTCCCTCCGCTCATATCAATCGTTATTGAACTGTCCTCGATTAAATTTGTTGAAACTAATTATCAATTAAACGGTTTTCAGTTGAATTGGTTCATATTAATCGTCAATCAAACACGATATAATTAATTAAATGACTGATTACTCGCAACCCTATGTATATATACTTATTCGTAAGAAGCGGTTTCAAGTGTAACATGCCGTAATGTGGGATGGCTGATGTTTACCAGATTCAGATTTGGGAGCAAAGATGAAGGCTCCTCGGCGTAGCTCTCTAGCCTGGACCGGTCCCTTCGCTGTACCAACAATGGTTAATAACAAACCATAAAGCACTGATCTTGAGATGCATGCATTTTTTCTACATAACCATACCGGAGCGGTAAATGCGCGTTTGTTACCCACATATCTTTTCTTACCGCGGCGAAAGAATTGTCTGACATTTCACAAAGATCCAATATTTAATTTAATGCACCGTCGCGCGTGTCCGACATCGACTCTCTTGCGTTCGGTATCGAATCTTTGGTGTCGAAACGCCCTCTCAAGACGCGACGCGGCGCTTATCGTGAAAATTTCACCGTTACGCATTAGATTGGTGCTGTTATCTTTGCGAACATTATCTTCCGCTTTGTTACAAGATTACAATAATACGGGTGACTGTGTGACTCGCGACATGAAATGACGGTGAGCGAAATGACTTGAACGATATGCGATGACAGTGACAAATCTGACTGTGACTTTTCTATGATTACATGTTGATGAGAGATTAATAAATAAGGATCAGAGAAATACATACAACGATAACGGTGTGTCTTGGTGTGACGTAGGGAATGTAAATGGACAACAGATAACAGATAGGTCAGTATGTGCGTGGTACACGATTAGTATATGCATAATGCTCAAGCCCGTATACAAGTGTGAATCGAATGGAGACTATACTACGCAGGAAAACATTACGACACAATCTTGTTAGTTACACCTTTTCTCCCCTACTGTTAGTGTGAACTTGGAATAACCCATCAAGAGCGAATGTACGTGTGTGAGTAAAAGAGCAGAGGTGAGGGGTGAGACAGAGGGATAGTTGTGTAATGCTCTCGAGGGCTTCGAACTTCCTTCTAGATGACGTAAACGGATCCTACTACGATTCTAATGAGTAATAAATTGACTATCGCGAGCTCTATGACCGCCAATAAACTATAACCTGGAGATAATACACTCTGAAGATAATACAGAGAATAAAACAACTTTTGGCAAGAGGAAACACGTAACATCCTATAGCTTAGACTAAAGAGATCCGCGTCGATTCTCGGAATCTCGAACCCGCTGCCTAGACGATGATTGCGTTTAGCTTACCTTGCGCGGCGGAGGAATGGGATTGCCCAGACCATGGTCCGAGCACATGGAACTCAGCGACTCGCTGCTACGTCCGTTGCTGAGTCTGGACGTGACGCCGGAGGGAGCTGGAGGTGGCGGGTTTCGCGGTCTCTGCAGAGTCGAACTGTTCGCCTTGTCCATACCTGTTAGCAAAGAGGGAGAGAGGCACAGTGAGTATCGCTCTCCAGCGGGCGCACCCTGCGAGATTCATTTATCGAATATACCGTGTCCGGTCGACGAGTCGCCGCTCGGTGATCTCTTATGATGTTGGCTATTTAGTGTGTTCAACGTATGCGGTAGAGTGTGTAAAGTGTGGCCGGCTAAAATCGGTTCGCTGGTCGTACGACTGTGCGTCGACGTAGCCAACGTGGGTAGCGTACCGTAGTGCGACGACGGTAAGATGCTGGCGTTTCCGGCGGGCGGCGGCGGCGGCGCTACTCGTTTCTTCAGCGAACCGTGGATGTTCACTGAAATATCCGGCACCATGGGGGTGGGTACTGTGCGGGAAGATCGACGTAATTAAAGCGACGACGGCGTACAGTGCAATCAAGACATGAATAATTGTCAGATAAAATCTCAAACTCTGTGTGCTGAATATCGGACACAACCGGGATCTTGCGCGAGATTTCAAAGAATTGTTGCATGAATGTCAACGGCTTACCGACTACGGGTTTCCTCGTTTGCGGCGGCGGCGGCGGAGGCATTTGCTGGCGATTCGTCGAGGCACTCGGAGAGGATCCGCTCTGTAGACTGTCGCAGGTGCTGCTCCGACTGCGTAGCGTTACCGGCGAATCGCCGGACCCCATGCCACCGCCTCCCGCGTAGGACGGTGGTCTGCTGCGTGATTTCTTCTCGGGCGTAAGACATCCGTTCTGCGAGATCGATATTCGCGTATATGAATACACAGACATTGGTTCGTTTTCTTCCAAAGTTATTCCTGCGTTATGGAATCTCGATCCACTTACTCTGTCTTCTATTATTGTTTCATCATCGGAGAAGTCCGTGGAACCCTCATCGTGAGAAAGATTCCAGTCAATATTCACGTTATCGAACAATGTCTTCTGCCTTTGAAGAGCATGACTGAGCTAAAAGCAATTTGTTTATCAAAAAGAATACGTGTATGTGCATATATGACTAAAGGATAACAATATGAAATAGTAAAGACCGTGATGAATAAAAATATACGAAATTTCTGAACGCGGAACAGGTTGTGTTTCATTACCAATTCCTTGCACGTGTGGTGTCCCATTTCCTGCGCAATGTCCAGCGGAGTCTTATCCTGTTTGTTTCGATGCGACGGATCCGCGCCCGCTCGCAACAGTAGCTTCATCGCCTCCGCTCGGTCGTGTCGCGCGGACAGATGTAGCGCGGTCTCGCCGTCGATGGTCGTCCGATCAATACCACCGGTCGGCATGTTTTGCACTAGGAAGTCCACGATGTGTAGACTGCTGCCCATTTCGCGCAAGATAGCCAAGTGTAACGCCGTCTCGCCCACATCCTGAAACAGATATAAAGCTCGATAGTGTTTATACCAGATTTGCACAACGTGAAAATAAGTTAGAGTAAATAAGAAATTAGTGTGTAATCATAATTAATGTAAATAAATATTATAATTAGTGTAATCATAAAGAGATTGCAAGTGTAGCAAATTAAAATTGAGATTTTTTAAATGTAATATGCATTATCATGTATCATACCGATGTTGGCAACGGCGCTGCCAAATCTACGTTCTCGGCGTAGACTTGCAGAAGTTGCTGCAGATCGCGATTGTTAACGGCGTGCTCCAAATCGGAAAGTAGATCACGCTCGTCCGCGCACGTATTCATCACATATCTCTTCTCCACATACTTGGCACGTATGAACTCATACCTCTCCTCCCTGGAAAATGCAAGAGAGGGCGACGTGAGAACTGAAGGAGTAGGAGACAATGGAAGGTGCGCGCATCGCTAATCACGCTTTAGCGACGCGCGCGTTGTATACTTGCTCACATCGTCGACGTCGGCGACGGCTTGAGATTATGACGTAATGTCGCCTCCATCACCTCATTGAACGCCTGATTGGTCATGTGCCGCGCGAGCAACAGCTGAGCGGTGCCCACGTTGTCCAGCGTGAGGGATTGTATTCGCGATATATGCACACCCAAGTCCCGGTGGATGCCGCTGCACTCTATGCACACTATTATCCCGAAGTTCGTGGACAACCACGTGGCGTCTGAAATGGACACACAATCGCCTTTCGTACAAAAACGCGACAACTGGAGCACGAGCGAAGTCGAGTCGCACTTTGTCCGGCTGTCGCGCGGAAACGCCCGCAACAAAGACCGGCCAGCGAACCGGAGAGCACATTCATGCCATTCCCGATGACACGAGAGACCCTGCTGTGTGCGCTGGACGTATTAATTCTATCTATAGGAGTCTAATTTAATAGAGAGATATCGCAGCACGTCCGAGAACGAAAGTCACTACCGCCCACTAGGCTAAGCTATTAAGAAATTCCCTAATGAGAATTTAAACAATAATCTGCTAAAGAAATTCTCGTCGTGCGAGAATGATTTAATCAAGATTAGTTGATAAAAATATTGAATCTTTGTTTTGAAATACCTTTTTTTATTGAAAGATTGTTTGCAAAATCTTGATTTGATAATAAAGGAATTGTCCCTATTAATGTGCGTTTGAGTCAACTTGCTCATTATTGAATTAATTGTTAAATACTGTAGCCTTAATTTTGTCTGCGTGAAATTAATATCGGTTTTTTAAATATTTCTTTTTCTTATAACATTTTTTAATGTGAAAAATGTTAATATTTTATAATGTTTTAATAAAAATTTAAAAAATTTTTTGTCCCGATTAGTGTGTCCCTCCAAAAGGAGATATTAATATGTCCCCAGTTAGTGTATCCGTGATTAATAAGTCTTGACCTATTTTCACTACATTCACTACATCAGATTGGTAATTAATAGTAAGCAAAATCCACAAGCAAATGATTAGCTGAGTATAATACAAGATCACACTATATCTATACAATTTCAATTTATCACATTAATTATATCTATACAATTTCAATTTACATTCATAATGCAACGCTCATCTCGGGATCGAAAACAAAGTTAAGTTAGCCGGCTAAAAGACAAGAACAAGAGGACACACTAATAGGAATAATAATTTACTAAATTCACATAAAAAATAATATAAAATGCTTCAAAAATATACTTCAAATCAATTTATAATATAATTTATATACATAGGGCAAATTATGTTAATAATCAATTTATTAACTTTTGTTAAGTAAACATTTTTTTAGCGAGTAAATTTTTTTATGGCTTATTCAAATACAAAAAGGCACATTAATAGGGACAGGTATAGTAATATGGACAGTTACCTTACGTTCAATCGTGAAGCTACTTTAGACACATTCGCCTGAATCGATATAAGGTTGACCGAGACGGATCAAAATAAGTTCTTATCTCTGGCACGATAAGACAGCTCGTTTGAAACAGAAAACTGAAGAGACAATTGTCCCTTCAGCTTAGTTTAATTCGACTCGCCTCGGTCTATCCTAACAGACACATGTGGCACGCGCGCCAGAAAGAGGCTACCGGCGATCCGTCTCTGTGATATCCCGCAATGCCCAGTTACCGTTTTGCGAGGAGCAATCGCAGCACTGATCGTTTCCGGGTAACCGCATCACGCATCGTATGACGGCTTGCTGCAACTCCACGAGGCTGGGATTGCCGCTGCCGGCCTCCGCCTTGCCGCTCGCGTCGAACGCGCGCAGCAGGGCGCGTTCCTTGCAATTCACCAGGACCGACATCCACGCGCGCTGGTCCGCCTCGTCCTCCGCTTGGAAGTGGTATGTCCTATTGTCTGCAAACGAGACAATGACAGTATCAAACGGTCGCTCATTGTAAGGAGGAACATGACGAGCTCCGGTATGTCTCAGATGCTCGCCCAAGCGAGTCAAAAGTACGAACCGTTCGCGGCTCCAATGACGGGTGTTTGAATCTCCGTTTTGTGAGTGCTGCCGAGCACGCACTTTGATCGCGCGAAGATTCGAGCGGTTATTCGAATATTTTCCGAGAAAAACTTAGCGAACGAGGGGATGTCACATATCTAGCAATCTGATATGGTCAGCAGATAATATTACTATATACATCAGAAGTTGCTTTATAATCCGTTATCAATACATAGATTATACGTCCGTTATCGGCACGTAAGCAAACTCACAAAGAATTCACGATTTTGAAGTTGCTGTTTCCTATGAGACTTCCAAGAATATTTGAGGTCGCGAGAAATATTCGAGACGATACACCGTACATCCGTAACGATTAGATTTGAGCTTGTGCCTCATCGCTACTTACAGCTTATGAGATCGAAGCCTCGCTTGTCGTCCGGCACTAGCTTGATCTGGCAAGTCAATAGGTTCACCCGGGTGGGCGGCTTGTTCTCGTCGGCGTGGCAGATGTCAAGGTAGCCCTCCGCCTGCACGGCACACCGTCTCTTTTGCCAGACTCTCCTCATTTTGCCCTCGCTCTTCTTCAGCAGGTGGCCGGAACGCGTGACGCCGTGCTGTTTGTCCCCCTGCAGCTGGTGCAACGAGTAGCCAGCGTTCGCGTTCGCATTTAACTGTAAATCACGTGAGTATCATTTAAAATCTGAGTGCATGTACAGTATACGGTCCAATAATGGAGTTAATATACAAGTTAATTCTGAACTATGCATGATTTCTAAGGAAAAATGTTATTGTGTATTCTTGACACAAGTCAAAGTAAAAAAAAGGAAACAGAACAACATTAATAAAATGACAATCGAAATACGAGGGAATTATTAGACTAAAAAGAATTCGTTGTCTACGTTACCTCTTTGTCACATCCGGAGCTCCTGAGGAGGCTCCTAAGTTCCGTTAGTCGTCTTCTCTCCTCGTCCTGCGTCTGTCTGATCTTTTGCAACTTCACGCTGAGATCGGCCACGTAAGAGCCGAAGTGCTCGATCGTCTTCAAGCCATCCTGAAAATAACTATATAACGCCGCAACGTAAACGTTAGAAACTTCAATTGACCGCCACGATTGTCTTTCGCTTATCGCCCGAATAGATTAACGCTCTCTCGTGTCTTGAAGGATGTTGCAATACCGGTCGCAAGCAATGCGTGTGATTTTGTAGGAAAACGCGGAGACATTAACTGTGAGCACTCACTTGGTTTGCGCATGGTAATATTCGACTAGATGCTGCAACAGCTCGATTCCCTTCTTCGTTTTGATCTCGTTCACTTTGATCAGATACTGCAAGCAAACACAGACAACAAATGATCAACAGTTCTGCGTCTCTATCTCTCGGCACAGACTCGCTCAAACACGTTTTTATCAAGTTATCGTAAACGCGATCTGCAAATACAGAGTGTCTCATAATTATCAGCGCTCGTTGTCTCTACAGATATCTCTACATATGTAGAACATTATATCATATACGACATCGTCGCGCATACATATATTGACGTTAAATATTATTTTAAGCAATCTTCATTAAAACACACGGACGATAATTTTTTCCTTATTTCTTTCTCTCTGTCTTGGACATCCTGTGCGGACGATCATGCAAAATGTAAGTGGATAGAGCTTCAGCTCGTCTGGAGTGTGAAATGTGAATGAAATTCTCCAGTTGAAAGGCATATTTTTCACCAACATCGGTATCGATACGATCGGATATCGATATGCGCACATTATCAATGGTACATGCGCCTCTCTCTCTCTCTCTCTCTCTCTCTCTCTCTCTCTCTCTCTCTCTCTCTCTCTATCTCTCTCTCTCTCT